TAGTTCCGGGATCGGGGTCCCCCCAAAATCCTCCCAGTTTTGGGACAGGGACCCGCCTGCCCCCCTGGCCCCGAAATCCCAATTTTTTACCCCATTTTTAACCCCATTTTTTCTGTCCCATCCTTTTGTTCTCCCATGGCTGATCCGGGCTCGCTCCAGGAGCGTTTTGGGGCTGGGGGTTCAGCCCCCTCCCCATTAAACCCCCAAAGTCTTCCTTAAAAACCCCAAATTCCTCTTTAAAAACCCCAAAATCCTCCTTAAAACCTCACAATCCCTCTTAAACCCCCCAAATGTTCTCCCCATCCTTTTTCTCCTCCATTTTGGGGTCATTTTTCATTATTTTTTGTGTCAGGGGTTCATCCCCTTTATGCCCCCAAAATCCTCCTTAAACACCCCAAATTTCTCTTTAAACTCCCCAAAATTCTCTTTTGACGCCCCTTTTTAACCCCTTCCCGCCCTTCCTCCTCCCACAGCCGCCATGTTGGCGCTGCCCTGGTGCCATTTTTGGTCCATTTTTGGGCAATTTTGGGGTCAGGGGTTCGTCCCCTTCACCTTTACTCTCCGAGATCCTCCTCAAACCCCCCCAAAATCTCCCCAAACGCCCCAAAATCCCCCTGGAACCCCCCAAAATCCTGTTCCCCATTCTCCTCATGGAGCTGCCATTTTGAGGCCTTCCCTGGCCTGCTCTGGGGCTGCTCTGGAGCCGTTTTGGAGCCATTTCGGGCGATTTTGGGGCGATTTTGGGCTTAATTTGGGGTAAGGGGTTTACTCCCCTGCCCTTTAAACCCCAAAATCCCCTTTGAGCCCCAAAATCCTCTTTAAACCCTCAAAAATCCTCTTTAAACCCCCCAAAATTTGTGTCCCAGCCCTCCTTTCCCTCACAGACCTGCCGCCATTTTGGGCCCATTTTGAGGCTGTCCTGGAGCCATTTTGGGGCCATTTTGGGGCCCTTTGAGAACATTTTGGGCCATTTCGGGGTCAGGGGTTCACCCCCTTCCCCTTTAATCCCAAAAATCCTCCTCAAACATCCGAAAAATCTTCCCAAAACCCTCCAAAATTGTATCCCCACTGTCCTCACCCAGCCGCCATTTTGAGGCCGTCCCGGAGCCATTTTGGGGCCATTTTGGACGATTTTGGGGCCGTTTTGAGCCATTTTGGGGCCGTTTTGAGTCCGGGGGGGTTCATCCCTCCCTTCCCCTTGAACCCCAAAGTTCTCCCCAAACCTTTTTAACCCTTTCCTCCCCCCACTGCTGCTGATCCCCTCGCTCCGGGCCGGTGCTGGGGCCGTTTTTGAGGTCAGTTTGGAGCCATTTGGGGGCTGGTTTGGGGTTGTTTTGGAGTCATTTTGGGGTCGTTTAGGGACATTTCGGGGTCAGGGGTTCATCCCCTTCCCCTTTAACCACCAAAATCCTCCTCAAACCTCTCAAAACCCTCCAAAATCCCATCCCCACCATCCTCACCCAGCCGCCATTTTGAGGCCGTCCCGGAGCCATTTTGAGCGATTTTGGGGCCATTTTGGACGATTTTGGGGCCGTTTTGAGCCATTTTGGGGCCGTTTTGAGTCCGGGGGGGTTCATCCCTCCCTTCCCCTTGAACCCCAAAGTTCTCCCCAAACCTTTTTAACCCTTTCCTCCCCTCCCTGCTGCTGATCCCCCCGGCGCCGGGCTCGCTCCGGGCCGGTGCTGGGGCCGTTTTTGAGGCCGTTTTGGGCCGTTTTGGGGCCGTTTTGGGGCCGGGGGCCGGCGCCTGACGCGCCCCCCCCCTTTTGTCTCCCTCAGACATGTCGAGCCGCGCCGTGTGCCGCCACTTCATGCTCAAGGGCAGCTGCAGGTACGAGAACAACTGTGCCTTCTACCACCCCGGCGTCAACGGGCCCCCCCTGCCCTGAACCCCCAGAAACACCCAAAAACCCCAAATCCACCCCAAAACACCCCCGGTTATGGCTTCTGTGAGGCCTCGGAGGGGGAAAGTGGGGGGAAAAAGGGAGAAAAATGGGGAAAAGGAGATGATTGTTGGGGAGTGGTGGTGGTGGGGTCTGGGGAGTGGAGTTTGGGGTAGGAGGTGGAAATTTGGGGTGAGAGTTGGAAATTTGGGGTGAACGTTGGAAATTCGGGGTAGGAATTGGAAATTTGGGGTGAAAATTGGAAAGTTAGGGTAGAAATTGGAGGTTTGGGGTGAAATTTAGGGTAAAAATGGGAAATTTAGGGGGGAATGCTCCTTTAAGGGGTGGAAATTGGAATTTTGGGGTAGGAGTTGGAAATTTGGGGTGAAAGTTGGAAATTTGGGGTAGGAATTGGAAATCTGGGGTGAAATTCAGGGTAAAAATTGGAAATTTGGGGTAAAATTTGGAAATTTAAGGGGGAAAATGCTCCTTTAAGGGGTGGAAATTGGAATTTTGGGGTAGGAGTTGGAAATTTGGGGTAGAAGTTGGAGTTTAGGGGAAACCACTCCTTAAATGGGTGGAAATTTGAATTTTTGTTGTGAAAAAATTGGAGTTTAGGGGAAAACGCTTCTTTAAGGGGCAGAAATGTGAATTTTTGGAGACGAAATGTGAATTTTGGGGGGGCAATCAAATTTATGGGGTGGAAATTGGAATTTAGGGGTGCAAATCCTTCCCAAGGGACAGAAATTGTCATTTAGGGGGCAGAAATTCAAATTTTTGGGGGGAAATTGTCACTTTTGGGGCAGAAATTTGAATTTAAGGGGTGGCAATTGGAATTTTGGGGGTGTAATTCCTTCCTCAGGGGCAGAAATTCTCTCCCAGGAGTAAAAAAATTTCGTTTATGGGATGGAAATCTTCTTTTTTGGGGCCGAAATTGTCATTTTCGGTGTAGAAACTCCAATTTCTGGGTTAAAATCCCTCCCTAAGGAGTAAAATATTTCATTTTGGGGCAGAAATTGTCATTTTTGGGGTGGCAATCCCTCCCAGGAGCACAAATTCTGATTTGTGGGGTGCAAATTTCCCCCTCAGAGGTAAAAATTGTCACTTTTGGGGTAGAAAATCTCAATTTTTGGGGTTTAACCTATAAAGGGCTTTAAAAAATCTCTATTTTAGGGCAAAAAAATTCAGTTTTGGGGTAAAATATTTTCCACAGGGTCAGAAATTCTCTTGTTTGGGGCAGAAATTTTCTTTTTTGGGGCTGAAATTCTCACTTTTGGTACAAAAATTCTCATTTTTGGGACTTACATTTTCATTTTTGGGGCAATTTTTTTCATTTTTTGGGGATTTCGACACCCTCAGGGCTCAAAAATTTTGACTTTTGGGTCGAACCCTTCAATTTCCAGGACCCAAATCCCCCCTTGGAGCCTCCCCTCCCCCCCCGGGGGTGCCCCTCCCCCTTTGCGGGGGGGCCGGACCCCCCCCAAACGGTGACGTCACCCCGGGGGGAGGAGCAATTAGCAGTTATTAACGACCCATTAATAATTATTTATTCATCACCACCACCCCTCCCCCTCCGGGTCCAACTCTGCCCCATTTTGTAGACCCCCCCCTCCCCCCTTTTGTATATTTTGTACATTATTAATAAAGTTTGGGGAGAAACCCCGGAAATGAGAGAGTCTGCACTGGGGGGAGGGGCCGGGGTCACTCAGGGGTCACTGGAGACCATGGGGAGGGGGCAGGGATGTCACCACACTGGCCACGCCCACACTGACCACGCCCAAATGGCCACAATGACCACACCGGCCACGCCCACACTGACCACGCCCACCCCATTGCCCCTGCTGGTCACTCTGGTGCTGACCACTGTGACCTCATCCACTGCCCCCAGTGACCACTGGCCACGCCTACAATGACCATTGGCCACACTGGCCACGCCCACACTGACCACGCCCAAATGGCCACACTGGCCACGCCCACACTGGCCACGCCCACCCCATTGCCCCTGCTGGTCACTCTGGTGCTGACCACTGTGACCTCATCCACTGACCCCAGTGACCACTGGCCACGCCTACAATGACCATTGGCCACACCCACACAGACCACGCCCACTCCGCCATTGCTCCGCCCCTGTTTATTCCTCTGGTCACTGCAGCCACTCCAATGGACACTGCGGTCACTCTGGTGCTGACCACACACACTGACCTTGATGACCACACCCACACTGACCACGCCCACACTGACCACGCCCACTCCGCCATTGCTCCGCCCCTGTTTATTCCTCTTTGCCCCCTGCTGGTCACTGCAGGGAACTGCGGTCACTCTGCTGGTCACTGCGGTCACTCAGGTGGTGACCACGCCCACACTGACCACGCCCACTCCGCCATTGCTCCGCCCCTGTTTATTCCTCTTTGCCCCCTGCTGGTCACTGCGGGGAACTGCGGCCACTCCAGGGGTCACTGCGGTCACTCTGGTGCTGACCACGCCCACACTGACCACACCCACTGACTGATTACCACTCCCACACAGACCACGCCCACTCCACCATTTTTCCACCACCTTTTATTTCTCCCTTTGCCCCCTGCTGGTCACTGCGGGGAGCTGCGGCCTCTCTGCTGGTCACTCTGCTGGTAGCCACTCCAATGGTCACTGCGGTCACTCTGGTGCTGACCACACACACTGACCTTGATGACCACACCCACACTGACCACGCCCACACTGACCACGCCCACTCCGCCATTGCTCCACCCCCGTTTATTTCCCCCTTTGGCCCCTGCTGGTCACTGCGGGGAGCTGCAGCCTCTCTGCTGGTCACTCTGGTCACTCCAGGGGTCACTGCGGTCACTCAGGTGGTGACCACGCCCACACTGACCACACCTCACTGACCGTGATGACCACGCCCACACAGACCACGCCCACACAGACCACGCCCACTCTGCCATTGCTCCGCCCCTGTTTATTGCTCCCTGTGTCCTGTGCTGGTCACTGCAGCCACTCCAATGGTCACTGCGGTCACTCTGGTGCTGACCACACACACTGACCTTGATGACCACACCCACACTGACCACACCCACTGACTGATTACCACTCCCACACAGACCACGCCCACTCCACCATTTTTCCACCACCTTTTATTTCTCCCTTTGCCCCCTGCTGGTCACTGCGGGGAGCTGCGGCCTCTCTGCTGGTCACTCTGCTGGTCACTCTGGTCACTCTGGTCACTCTGGTCACTGCGGTCACTCGTGTGGTCACTGTGGTCACTCCGGGGGTCACTCTGGTCACCGCGGTCGCGCCGGGGGTCACTCCCGGGGCCGGTGCACCACGACCTCGCCCAGCGCCTCCAGCACCTCGCGTTTGTAATCGTCGAAGTCGCCGTCGATCTGGCTCAGGCCCTGCTCCTCCACCACCCACAGCTGGCAGTTGGTCTCGGTGATCAGCCGCGCGTCGTGGCTCACCACGATCACCGCTGGGATGGCACAATGACGTCACTGTGACGTCATCACTTCGGGGTGCATTGTTGGGGAGGTTTTGGGGCGGTTTTGGGGCAGTTTTGGGTGTTTTTGGGTGTTTTGGGGCAGTTGGTGTCGGTGATCAGCCGCGCGTCGTGGCTCACCACGATCACCGCTGGGATGGCACAGTGACGTCACTGTGACGTCATCGCTCCGGGGTCTGTTATTGGAGCAGATCTGGGGCAGTTTTGGGGTGCTTTGGGGACATTTTTGTGGGACTTTGGATTTATTTTTGGGGTATTTTTGATAAATTTTTGGGGCATTTTTGGTAAACTTTTGGGGCATTTTTGGGCATCTCCCTTCCCAATCTTTGGGGGATTTTCCTCTCCCAGTGATTCAGATTTTCCCCTTCACTTTCAGGGCCCCTCTCCCCATTTTCAAGGTCCCTTTTCCCATTTTTGGGGTCCCTTTTCCCATTTTTGAGGTCTCTTTTCCCATTTTTGAGCTCAGGCCCTGCTCCTCCACCACCCACAGCTGGCAGTTGGTCTCGGTGATCAGCCGCGCGTCGTGGCTCACCACGATCACCGCTGTGACGTCAGAATGACGTCACTGTGACGTCATCACTTCGGGGTGCATTGTTGGGGAGGTTCTGGGGCAGTTTTGGGGCAGTTTTGGGTGGTTTTGGGTGTTTTGGGGCAGTTGGTCTCGGTGATCAGCCGCGCGTCGTGGCTCACCACGATCACCGCTGGGATGGCACAGTGACGTCACTGTGACGTCATCGCTCCGGGGTCTGTTATTGGAGCAGATCTGGGGCAGTTTTGGGGTGCTTTGGGGACATTTTTGTGGGACTTTGGATTTATTTTTGGGGTATTTTTGATAAATTTTTGGGGCATTTTTGGGCATCTCCCTTCCCAATCTTTGGGGGATTTTCATCTCCCAGTGATTCAGATTTTCCCCTTCACTTTCAGGGCCCCTCTCCCCATTTTCAAGGTCCCTTTTCCCATTTTTGAGGTCTCTTTTCCCATTTTTGATGTCCCGCTCCCCATTTTTGATTGATGACGTCATCCCCGTGGCCCCGCCCCCCGGCCCCGCCCAGGCCCCACCTCCTTTGTACTCGTTGATGGCGTCGGCCAAGGCGTCGATGGATTCGATGTCCAGGTTGTTGGTGGGCTCGTCCTGGGGGCCGAGGGGTGCTCAGGTGAGCTCACACCTGGCCACGCCCCTCCCAGCGTGGCCACGCCCCTCACAGAACGGCCACGCCCCTCCCAGTGAGGCCACGCCCTCCTGACCCCACCCAAACTCCACCCAGGGCTCTGAGCAGGATGGGAACAGGAACTTGGGAGGGGTCAAAAGGTCACTCAGGTGATGTCACAGCTGGTCACGCCCCTCACAGAGTGGCCACGCCCCTCACAGAGTGACCACGCCCCCCTGACCCCACCCAGGGCTGTGATTGGAGTGAGAACAGGAACTTGGGAGGGGTCAAGGGGTCACTCAAGTGAGGTCACACCTGGCCACGCCCATCCCAGCATGGCCACGCCCCCAATGGCATGGCCACGCCCTCCTGACCACACCCAGGGCTGTGATTGGCACAAAAACAGGAGCACGGGAGGGGTCAAGGGGTCACTTGAGTGAGCTCATGCTTGGCCACGCCCAGCCCAGGCCCCGCCCCCCGCAGGCCCCGCCCCTCACCAGGATGAGCACGTCGGGCTCGCGGCAGGAGAGCTCCGCGAACACGACCCGCGCCTTCTGCCCGCCTGCGGGAAGGGGCGGGGTCAGACGGGCCGGCCACGCCCCCCGGGGCTGGCCACGCCCCCCGGTACCGACCACGCCCCCATGAACCAGCCACGCCTCCCCAGGCAGTAGCCACGCCCATTTGTTTGCTAGCCACGCCTTCTCTGGTGGTGACCACGCCCTTCCAGGTGGCAGCCACGCCCCCAAGCACTAGCCACACCTCTCCACGCACAAGCCACGCCCATCCTGATGTAAGCCACGCCTTCTATGTCGCAACCACAGCCTCCCAGATGTGAACCACGCCCTCCCAACTGCTAGCCACGCCCTTCAGACACTAGCCACGCCCTCCCAGGTCCTAGCCACGCCTCCCAGACACAAGCCACGCCCTTCCTGGTGCTAGCCACGCCCCCAATCACTAGCCACACCCTCCAGGTGCTAGCCACGCCCTCCAAATCCCACCCCACACCTCCCAGATGCTAGCCACACCCTCCAGATATTAGCCACACCCTCCTGGATGGTAGTCACGCCTTCCCAGAGACCAGCCCCGCCCTCCCATGCACTAGCCACGCCTCTCAGACACTGGCCACAACCTCCTGGATGCTAGCCATGCCCTCCCAGACACTAGCCACACCCCCTCAGACACTAGCCACGCCCTCCAAATCCCTCCCCACACCCCCAAGTCACCAGCCCCGCCCCCAAGGCGCTAGCCCCGCCCACCCGAGAGCTTGGCGATCTGCAGGGTGTGGGCGTGGCCCTCAAGGCCGAAGCGGCCGAGGCAGCGCCGCGCGTCCTGGTGCGCCAGGTTGAAGCTGCGCTGCAGGAACTCGGCCGCCGTCTCCTCCAGCCGCAGCTGCTCGGCCGCCTGCTGGTTAAAGAACCCCACCTTCTGCGGGGGGGAGGGGCGGGGCCGGTCAGGGACACGCCCACCACAGAGCGGCCACACCCACCCCAGAGTGGCCACACCCACCCCCACTGCTGGTTAAAGAACCCCACCTTCTGCGGGGGGGAAGGGGCGGGGCCGGTCAGGGACACGCCCACCGACAGGCCACACCCACCACAGAGCGGCCCCACCCACCCCAGAGTGGCCACACCCACCCCAGAGCGGCCACGCCCACCCCACCCCAAATTTCTCTTCAGCAGGAGCTGCTCCCAGTGAGGCCACGCCCATCCACATTAGGCCACACCCCCTTTGTGACCACACCCTTTCCATGTTTGAATAGTCAGCCACACCCTCAACCACACCCATTTAAGCCCCTCCCATCCCCATTATGTAACAATGCCACACCCATTTAGGCCCCGCCCCTTCCTGAATAAAACCCACACCCTTTTAAGCCCCGCCCACTCCCATTAGGAAGCAACGCCACACCCATTTAGGCCCCGCCCATCCCCGCTATAAGCCCCGCCCCCTGTGGCCCCGCCCCTTTACCAGCCGATGGTTTCTCCTCATCTGCCCCCGGAGCTGCGGAGGGGAAAGGGTTAAAAAATCAAATTTTGGGGTTCCCCAGTTTGGGGTTTTTTTCCCAATTTTGGGGGATTTCCCCCCAATTTTTGGGACTTTCCCCCTCAATTTTTGGGACTCTTTTTCCCCAGTTCTGGGGAATTTTCCTTCCCATTTTTGGGGATTTTTGCCTCCAATTTTGCCCATTTTGGGTTTTTTTCCTTGATTTCAGTTGTTTCCCCCCCCCATTTTTAAGAGTTTTTCCCCTATCTTTTAGGGGATTCTTTTCCCCATTTTTGGTTTTTTCCTCCCCATTTTTGTATTTTTCCCCCCATTTTTGCATTTTTTCCCCCTTTTTGGTTCCCTCCCCCCATTTTTGTATTTTTTCCCCGTTTTTCTATTTTTTCCCCATTTTGGAGGGGGGCTTTCCCCATTTTTTTTCTATTTTTCCCCATTTTTATATTTTCCCCCCATTTTTTGGGTTTTTTTCCCCCCACATTTTTATATTTTTTCCCCGTTTTTCTGGTTTTTCCCCATCTTTGTATTTTTTCCCAGTTTTGGGGTTTTTTCCCCCGTTCCCAGCCCGTACCGGCGTCAGGGCCCCGGTGAGCAGCTGCAGCAGGGTGCTCTTCCCCACGCCGTTGGGGCCCACGATGCACACTGGGAATTTGGGGGAAAATTGGGGGAATTTGGGAAAATTGGGGAAAATCGGGGAATTTGGGGGAAAATCGGGGAATTTGGGGGGGACCCGGTCAGGGCAGGGTCCCCCCACCCCCCAGGGGGATTTTTGGGGCCGTTTCTGGGGATTTTGGGGCAGTTTTGGGGGATTTGGGGCAAATTTTGGAGGTTTCGGGGCCATTTTGGGTCAATTTTGGGGGGATTCGGGGCCGTTTTGGGGGATTTTGGGGGCATCTTGGGGGATTTAGGGCTGGTTTTGGGGGTTTTGGGACCATTTTGGGGCCGTTTTGGGGGATTTGGGGGCCGTATTTAGGGATTTTGGGGCCATTTCTGGGGGTTTTGGGGCAGATTTATGGGGATTTTTGGGCCATTTTTGGGGCTGTTATTGGGGCTTTTGGGGCCAATTTCAGGGGTTTCGGGGCCATTTTTGGAGGTTTTGGGGCTGTTTTGGGGGATTTCGGGGCCGTTTTTGAGAATTTTGGGGCTGATTTTGGGGATTTCAGGGCTGATTTTGGGGACAATTTCGGGGCTATTTTTAGGGATTTTGGGGCTGGTTTTGGAGGGTTTGGGGCCAATTTTGGGGATTTCGGGGCCATTTTTGGGGGTTTTGGGGCCATTTTGGGGGTTTGGGGGCCAATTTTGGGGCCGTTTTTAGGGATTTTGGGGCCGTTTCTGGGGGTTTTGGGGTTGTTTCTGGGGTTTTGGGGGATTTGGGGCCGTTTTTGGGGGATTTGGGGCCGTTTTTGGGGTCCCACCTCGGGATTCCATGTCGATGCCGAAGTCCAGGTTGCGGAACAGCAGCTCCTGACCCTCGTAGCCAAAATCCACCCCTGGGAACGGGGGAAATTCGGCATTTTTGGGGAAATTCGGGATTTTTTGGGGGAAATTCAGGACTTTCTGTGGGAAATTTGGGATTTTGGAGGGAAATTTGGGATGTTGGGGAGGAAAATTGGGATTTTTTGTGTGAAAATTCAGAATTTTGGAGGGAAATTCAGGATGTTGGGGGAAGTCTCAGATTTTGGGAAAAATTTGGGATTTTGGGGGAGAAATTGGGGATTCTTTGGGGCAAAATTCGGGATTTTTTAGGGAGAAATTCGGTCATTTTTTAGGGGAATCTCCCTTAAATCCCCCAAACCCCCTCCCCCAAACTCCCCCCAAAACCCCCTGAAACCCCCAAAAATCACCTCAAATCCCCAAAATCCCCCCAAATGACCCCAAAATCCACTCAAACCCCCCGAAATCTCCCCAGAATCCCGAGTTCTGGCTCTGACCGTGCAGGCCGAGGATGGGGGGGCTCAGGGGGGGCGGGTTGGGGAAGGTGAAGCGCACGGAATATTCCCGGGGCAAAACCCCTGAAACCCCCCAAAACCTCCCCAAAAACCCCTGAAACCCCCAAAAATCACCTCAAACCCCCAATATCACCCCAAAATCCCCCAAATCACCCCTAAACCCCCCAAATCTCCCAAAATGCCCCCCCAAAC